GATCATTACCTTTGTCCGACAAAGGGGCTGATCTTGTCACTATGATCACCCACTCAGATGAATTCTTAGACTGTCCCAACATACCCAGGTTTTGACCCTCGCTAAGGATCTCACTGATTGGCATATTAAAGACAGCCCAATCCGACACCTAGTGCAGTATCATAATCGAGTCTAGGGGTCAGGTGTAACTTTCCAGCTTTGCCCATCAATCTCCAAGGTCCAGGGCAATACTGGTAATTTGGTCCGGTTCAAAGATTCAATTAATCCTACACTGCATGTACCTTGGGTCTCACTCTGGTGGCAGAGACAGGCCACCCCAACCGACTTGGCGGCACACCAGTGTCGGCCTTATCAGGATAGGTCTCCCCAGACCGGCCCACTGGCTGTGAACGTTCTAAACCAACACAAGTCTCATAAGTGTCCAGTTTAAGGGTATTACACAGAAATATACCACATGAGCATGAATCAAATATGTACTTTATTCATTTACAATAAATGTCATAAGTACATCAAACTGATTGGAGCTAAGGGCATACAAAACTGTCTAATAATTCCCACTTGCACTTAGGTCCGATCTGGAATAAGCCGGAGTCCCATACTTTCCACGTGTTTCTCAAACACTTTCTGTGTGAGTGGCTTAGTTAATGGGTCTGCAACATTCTCCACTGAAGCTACCTTCTGAATCAGGACGTCCCCTCTACCAACAATCTCCTGCAGTACGTGGTACTTCCTCTCGATGTGCTTGGACTTCGAGTGGGCTCGTGGCTCCTTAACCTGATCAATGGCCCCATTGTTGTCGCACAACAACGGGATGGGTGATGTGCTGGATGGAACTACTCCCAACTCTTGGATGAACTTCTTCATCCACACGACTTCCTTGGCAGCCTCACTTGCGGCAATGTATTCGGCTTCGGTTGTGGAATTCGCCGTGGACCCCTGTTTGTTGCTTTTCCAGCAAACAACACACGATCCTATCGTAAATACATAACCAGATGTAGACTTTCTATCATCTGGGTCTGACTGGAAGTCAACATCAGTATACCCTTGGATCTGTAGTGATGCACCATCTGGGTACTTAAGTATGCATTTCACAACGGTCCAATGCTCCAGCCCTGGGTTGGCCTGAAATCTGCTTACTACACACCGCGTGAGCAACATCGGGGCAAGTGCACAGCATGGCATACATGATGCTCCCCACGGCAGAGGCATAGGGAACATTCTTCATGTCCTCGATCTCCTTAAATGTCTTGGGAGACATCTTCTTGGAGAGAGCAACTCCATGCCTGAAAGGAACATTTCCCTTCTTGGAGTTTTCCATGTTGTATCTTTTGACGATTTTGTCAATGTAAGCAGATTGGGATAATCCTATTATCCGCTTCGATCTATCTCTATAGAGTCGAAAACCCAGTATATAAGACGCTTCTCCAAGATTTTTCATGGAGAATTGCTGTGAAAGCCATACTTTGACCGAAGTCAACATTCCCACATCATTCCCAATGAGTAGGATATCATCCACATACAAAACCAAGAACGTAACCTTATCCCCACTGGTCTTCCTGTAAACACAGGGCTCATCCGGATTCTACTCAAAGTCAAACGTTTTGAYARTAGAGTCAAATCGGATGTTCCAACTCCTAGAAGCYTGCTTAAGTCCATATATGGATCTATTTAGTTTATATACCATGTGTTCCTGACCCGCAACTATGAAGCCTTGTGGCTGCTGCATATAGATATCTTCAGTAAGATCTCCATTCAGGAACACAGTTTTGACATCCATTTGCCAAATCTCGTAGTCATGG